CAATCGCAAATGTTTATAAATTATTTCTGGTAATTGAGTTATTAACGAATCTTCCCTCGAATTGATACGTCGAGAGAGAGTCTCACTGTGCGTCCTTCTCTCGCTCCGTAAAACGCATAAGTTTGTCCTTGTCGGATACCTCCATCTATATCATGTGTTCCTACCACTTACCAGGGAATTCGAAGTCCGTCTAAAAAGTTGGTGGCACAACCGGGACATCTATTCTCCTTGTCGCACACTATCTCTGTCCTTGTCTTACACACGGTGGAGATAGGGAAAGTTAGTTCACAAACCCGCCACCGTAGATGGCGCCACCGGTCTAGCGTTGTATCCTTGTCGCATAATTATTCGCTCCTTGTCTTACACATTACGGGCATCAAAGAAATGAACGGACCGTCCAAAAATCGTTAATAACTCATCAATTAAGTAACAAATCTATACAAAATTATAACGAGAAGATAGCCAAGACTTCACTCTACATCCTTTGACACAGATAAGTGCATAATTTATGTCTGTAAAATTGCGAACAGTTAACTTCGTAAATAGTTACTTAATTAGTATTACAGCCATAATCCTTTGACCATACCATATCTCTTCGACAGTTTTATTCCGCACGCACTTCAACATTGTCAACACTGACGCGTAAATTAATTTTGCTAAGTTCGAAACGTTAACGCAATTCTCAGATGGAATATAGAGGTTATGAAAAAAGAACACAGAAGTTGATGTAGCAAATATTCTTCATTTTTAATTAAGCGAAATACAAGATTGCAATAGTAAAACATATACACATAACCATCGAAAAATGGGAAAATATGGAAATATAATTTTTTTATTCCAATCTTTCACTATACTGGATGCTGTGTGCAGCATGAATGCGACTAGTGGCAAAACACTCGAACTATTAGACAAGATGACGAACAATGGAATTCGGCTAACAGCTTGAGCGTTTTGCCATTTGCTAATTGGCGCTGTACAGACCTTGTACAGAGGTTCCAGATTTCACCACAAGTGGCACCACTGTTTTACCAGTAGTTTCAGCGTTCTGCCATTTACTAATTGGCGCTGTACAGACCCTGACCTGAGCTTTTCGATGTTACCACAAGAGGCGCCACAAGTTGTTAAGTAGCGGAAGCTTTGAATAGTTTTTAACTAAGAACAAAGGAACCGCTCTTAATAACTCTGCGAAAACACGAAAACGCCAAGAAATCGATCCGGAGATGAATTCTCTACTCGACCCGATTATAAATTTTGGATTTATAACACATTTCCGCTGCATATTACAGAGCGTTAATGGTCTATGTTTCCAGCAATACCACGTATTCTTTATAGCAATTGATAATTTGTCCGTACGACGTCTTTCAGCTATCATCTGTACCGTTTTCCACGAACTAACAAATCTTGACCTAATTTAATTTCTCATTATTTAATTTGAAACATTCGCATTCTTACAATTTACGCCGTTCAATGCGCCAGAAACGAAATAAACGATACATTTTCTCAAGATCGAGAGATCTAGATCCCCCGCGTCATAGATCACTGCAACGTCACTGCAACGAATCGACGCACCGATTGGCTCTTTACTGGAATAACAAGACTTCCATTGAGCAATCGAGATTCGCTGACGAGCATGTGTTGTTGTTGCAAGTACAGTGAGCACATGGCATGATTTCGACGCGACCGTGGAAAGTGAAATTAGCTCGCATAATTATACAATGTTGAGAAAGGTTGGACTATTATCGAGGCAGCTGCGCCTTTTCACGAGGACGTTTCACGATGACGCGGTCGTTATCGGAACCTCGCAGGACCATAAATCGAAGGAGTACCAGGTTAGATCGATCATCTGGATCATTACAATTCGCTAATATTCGCGTCTTCCTTCGTGATACTTCGTTCCTCGTTCAAATTTTCTTACATCATCCGGCAAAAAATAAAGGAAAAAGCAGTCTCTATATCGGTCGACTGACGTGCGCTGTTATCGCGACTCGCGCGATAAGCTCGGGTTTGATATGGATTTAGTTATAGACGCGATCGCGCGGTCGCGCTTTATAGATCATCCGCAACGCGCATGCTCGTAGATCCGTATCATTGAAAGGATCTACGAACCGGGAACACGAGTTGCTATCCCATGCAAAATGAATTTCGCAGCATTTCAGAAAATAGCTGCACTAAAATCTCCCTAATCGACGCTCGGATTGCGCAGAAAAATGGACAATTTGGGGCGAGCAGATTCGATTATTCGAGTCTTTCGGCTCGTTTTTACAGTTGTCGGCAATCGGTAACTATAAAAACGAGCCGCGTGGAATAATCGGCGTTTTACCAAAGACCTGTTAATTTCAGGAGAATTATATACAAATGGAGAGCCTCGTGAAACAGTTGAAACAGAGGGTGGAGAAGATAGTGGAGGGTGGAGGAGAGAAAGCGAAGGAAAGGCACAAGAGAAGCGGGAAACTTTTGCCACGTGAACGAATCGATGCCTTGCTGGATAAAACGTCGCCGTTCCTCGAGTTTTCGCAATTAGCCGGCTACGAATTGTACGAGAAGGAGGAAGTACCGGCAGGCGGTATTATCACTGGCATCGGAAGAGTATCCGGGTAGACATCCCTAATCTTGTCTTTAACCCTCGCAGTACCGGCGGTCGGGCGTTCACGCGCAGCCCCGCGTTCGGGTCCGCATGGACCCATGATCTTATGTACACGAACATTTTCAACTACAATTTTCTTGCTATTGCTCTCGTTATTATTATTACTATCACTATTACTATTACTATTAATATTACTATTACTATTATTATTACCATTACTATTACTGTTATTATTGCTATTATTATTACCATTGCCATTATCTTGCCGAACTTTTTCTTTTAATTTCTAAGGAGAGTATAATTGAACGATACAAGATCATAAAAAATCGGTTATCGCTTCGACACGAACGAACGGCGACGCGGTACGACGAGGGTTGAAGTACGACGATTTGTTAGGAACGAGTGCGTGATCATCGCCAACGATCCGACGGTAAAAGGCGGCACCTACTACCCCATCACGGTTAAGAAACAATTGAGGGCGCAGGAGATCGCGGAGGAGAACAATTTGCCTTGCATATATCTGGTGGACAGCGGCGGCGCTAATTTGCCTAGACAAGCGGGCGTCTTCCCTGACAAATGGCACTTCGGCAGAAGCTTTTACAATCAGGCGAACATGAGCGCGAAGGGGATCGCGCAAATAGCGGTGGTCATGGGCAGCTGCACCGCAGGTTTAGCTTTGGATCGATCTTAGCCAGGGGTGGCCAAATTTGTCATCGCTACGGGCGACCTCTGTTTTTTCAAATTATAGGTCTGTCAACGCGTGTTAAGCGATCACAAGGAATTAATAGTAATTTAATAAATAGTAATTTAACCATTCGCGTTTCACCCTTTTTGTATAACAAAGCGCACTTTATGCGTATGAAATTGAGTTTCGCGACTCGTACAACACAGCTACACTTTTAATTTAGATTTCTTAAATTTAAACTTTGATAATATAAAAGTTATCTTGGAGCAATTTCAGTGGCGCCTCAGAGTCGCCACTCGAGTGCAAAGGGTCGAAGCAAAAGATAAGTTCCAATTTAACATAAACGTAGATAATATCAGACAGGCGGGCGACTAGGAATACAGACGCTTTGGCCACCCCAGGTCTTAGGGGCCACCCCTCGAGCTTGGACAGCGGACGAAGCGATCAAAGACTCGTTCATCCCTCGTTCGATTCTCTACCACAGTTTCTCCAATTCGCAGGCGGCGCGTACGTGCCCTCGATGGCCGACGAGAACGTGATCGTAGGGAATCAGGGCACCATCTTCCTGGCTGGACCGCCCTTGGTCAAAGCAGCCACCGGCGAGGACGTCACCGCGGAGGAGCTCGGCGGCGCGGCAGTCCACTGCCGGTACAGTAAATTATCTAAGATCGTCCCTCGGCTTTCGAACGCGGATAAAAGACGATTAACAACAATCGACTGCCCGCGTTTCGCTCGCTTGTTCTGAAAGTCTGTGATCTGTGCGCTCAGGAAGTCGGGTCTGATCGATCACTACGCGATAGACGATCGGCACGCTCTTCACCTCACGCGGCAGATCGTCGGCGACTTGAATCGGCAGAGGCCGATGCACGTGAACGCGAGCAAGAAGATAGACGTCCCTGCTCACGCGGTCGACGAGATGTACGGGATCGTCGGCGCCGACTTGAAGAAACCGTTCGACGTGAAGGAAGTGATCGCTAGGATCGTGGACGGGTCCAAGTTCCGCGAATTCAAGGCGCGGTACGGGGAGACCCTGGTCACGGGATTCGCCAGGATCTACGGGTATCCCGTGGGAATCGTTGGGAACAACGGGGTGCTGTTCTCCGAGAGCGCGCTCAAGGGCGCGCATTTCGTGCAGCTCTGCGCTCAGAGGAAGATTCCTCTCGTCTTCCTGCAGAACATCACAGGCCAGTAGCATACGCATGCAAACCGAGGAGTTCGCAGACTCGTGAGACATCGAGATAAGACGAGTTTATGAAACTGCAGGGTTCATGGTGGGCAAGGAGGCGGAGGCTGGAGGCATAGCGAAGAACGGGGCGAAAATGGTAACCGCTGTCTCTTGCGCCAAAGTCCCGAAGATCACGGTGCTGGTCGGGGGAGCGTATGGTGCGGGGTACTATGGTGAGACAGCTTTCTGTAACGTTCTACAGGGTGTCTTGTAATTATGCTAACAGTCGGAAAGAGGGGTGATACCCGAGGTCGTTGGAAGTAGCTTTTCTAAAGTAACTTGGCGAAAATGTAATCCGCGACTTTGTTTGCGAGTTGCTAACGAAAAACAGTGAACAACGAGAGACGAGATGGCCGAGCCAACGAGCAGTCGAAGCCTAATTTCGCTAATTGTCTCGGCAGTCTCGCGCCAGCTGATCTCGCCTTTCATTGATCACAGTTTCTCGTTGATAACTCGTAAACAAAAACTACATTTTCGCTAAGAAAATAGTTACTACAAATGACCTCAGGAATCTCCTCTTTCCAGATGTTAACATAATCATGGGACACCCTTATTTCCTTATTAACCCTTCGCACTCGAAGCCATTTTAATTCTAAATCCAAAATAGCTTCTTCCGACGACTTATTGCACTTTATGCGTACGAAACTGAGTCTCGCGACTCGTACAGCAATTACAATTTGATCAGTTCTTAAAATATAAACAGCTTCGACGACGCAAATATTATTTTGATACACGATCCGTCACCGGTCGAGTGCGAAGGGTTAATGCGAGATAAATTTCGGCAGGAATGTGCGGCCGGTCGTCCTCGCCGAGGTTCCTCTACATGTGGCCAAACGCTAGGATCGGTGTGATGGGAGGAGAGCAGGCTGCCGGGGTGTTAGCGCAGATCGCGAAGCAGCAGCGAGTGAGAGAAGGAAAAGAGGTAAGGATCTAGCGAGTCACGAGGCTGGAGTCGATCTATAAATCACGGTGAATCCAACAGCTGACCGCGGATGAAGAAGAGGCGATCAAGAGGCCGATCGTGAACAGGTTCGAGCAGGAGAGCAACCCGTACTACGCGAGCGCCAGGTGACTATCCGACACACGTAGCTTGAACCGAGGACGCGAAACGATGTATATTAAATTACTTTTAGATTATGGGACGACGGCGTGATCGATCCCGTGGACACCAGACTGGTCCTGGGTCTAAGCTTGTCGGCGGCCTTGAACGCTCCCATTCCCGACAGCAAGTTCGGGATATTCCGGATGTAGATCGTGATACAGTAATGTCTCCCTTACCGACGCTCAGATTCGAACCTTGCGGCTCGTTTTTATAATTGTGGACAATTTATAACTACTTCCCAAATTGTCCATTTTTCTGCGCAATCTGGGCGTCAATTAGAGAGACATTACTGTAATCGGAACCGAACTCCGACGTCTTTAACCTCGACGTCTGCACCGATATACATATAATTACAAGCGAAAGAAGTACATACACATACAATATATATTTTTTTATACGGGGTCGTCATGTATACACGAGTGTTAAAGAAATCCAAGTTATATGCGTGTTTTTGTATGTTTCGACGCGCGTTTTCATTAGCCTTCTTCTCTGCCCCTCGTCCCGGCACGGAGCAAGGAACAACGGGAGAGCTCGGATACGACGTGTTCGTCCGGCCCCCTCTTCGTTAATAGCTATTTTACACTAGCGGCGTTCCGTTATAGTTACGCTCGGATATTGTAGCAGCGATTAAGTACCTCTGTGATTGCCTACGTTCGCTCGAAGACGCGCCGCGATGTTACAGCTGGTCACGCGACTAGGTCGTCGGCATTCTCCGCTCGCAAAGGTCGATTTTCTCGACGGCGGCGCGGCCCGTAGCGGCCCGCAGCCGCCGCTATCGTCGAAGGGCCGCGTTCGGTCGCGTGCACCCTAGAGGAAGAGACCCGCGGGAAGGAGAATGAGAGTCGTGGGGACAGAGGGGAGCGTGGTGGACGAAAATCCGACGGTCGCAGAGCGGAGAAATACCTTGAGCACGTTCCTATCGAACCCAGAATCGAAGCATCGCGATCGTTTCGTCGTACAGTTGACTCCCCCGCGGGGAGTCGAATCTCCAATCGAGACACCGTTCTACGTATGAAGGAAAAGAATTATGCTAAAGTCCGGCTGGATCGCCGGTCCGTTTCCTCGACGATTCGCCCGAACCCGGCCGGCTCGGCTTTCTATTTACAATCAGCGATCGTTCGTCGTCCCCGAAGTCGTTCCTTCCGAGCTTTACAACAGCTTGCAGAGAGACAGAAGAGCGACGGCTAGGCCCGGGGCTATCGTTCGACACGAGGAGCCGCTGGTCTCCGTCTTGGTGACCTTGTACTCNCTTCCCAAATTGTCCATTTTTCTGCGCAATCTGGGCGTCAATTAGAGAGACATTACTGTAATCGGAACCGAACTCCGACGTCTTTAACCTCGACGTCTGCACCGATATACATATAATTACAAGCGAAAGAAGTACATACACATACAATATATATTTTTTTATACGGGGTCGTCATGTATACACGAGTGTTAAAGAAATCCAAGTTATATGCGTGTTTTTGTATGTTTCGACGCGCGTTTTCATTAGCCTTCTTCTCTGCCCCTCGTCCCGGCACGGAGCAAGGAACAACGGGAGAGCTCGGATACGACGTGTTCGTCCGGCCCCCTCTTCGTTAATAGCTATTTTACACTAGCGGCGTTCCGTTATAGTTACGCTCGGATATTGTAGCAGCGATTAAGTACCTCTGTGATTGCCTACGTTCGCTCGAAGACGCGCCGCGATGTTACAGCTGGTCACGCGACTAGGTCGTCGGCATTCTCCGCTCGCAAAGGTCGATTTTCTCGACGGCGGCGCGGCCCGTAGCGGCCCGCAGCCGCCGCTATCGTCGAAGGGCCGCGTTCGGTCGCGTGCACCCTAGAGGAAGAGACCCGCGGGAAGGAGAATGAGAGTCGTGGGGACAGAGGGGAGCGTGGTGGACGAAAATCCGACGGTCGCAGAGCGGAGAAATACCTTGAGCACGTTCCTATCGAACCCAGAATCGAAGCATCGCGATCGTTTCGTCGTACAGTTGACTCCCCCGCGGGGAGTCGAATCTCCAATCGAGACACCGTTCTACGTATGAAGGAAAAGAATTATGCTAAAGTCCGGCTGGATCGCCGGTCCGTTTCCTCGACGATTCGCCCGAACCCGGCCGGCTCGGCTTTCTATTTACAATCAGCGATCGTTCGTCGTCCCCGAAGTCGTTCCTTCCGAGCTTTACAACAGCTTGCAGAGAGACAGAAGAGCGACGGCTAGGCCCGGGGCTATCGTTCGACACGAGGAGCCGCTGGTCTCCGTCTTGGTGACCTTGTACTCGAACTGCTCGTTCACCTCTTGCGCTATAAAGGCCCGCTCCTCTGTCCTGATCGTGGTCGGCGCGGCCTGCTCCCTGACCTCCTCGGCCATCACAGCGCGGGCTTTCGTTCGGTTCTTGCCCTTCCTGATGTACAGCTCCGACAGGGCTGTGGACAAGACAGCGGTCACCATCGAATACGAGACGTTGTACAGTTGGCTATAGTAAATTCTCCCGAATTGACGCTCAGATTGTGCACGAACGTGGACAATTTAGGGAAGGAAGATACGATTATTCGAGCCTCGCGGCTCGTTTTCATAGCAACCGATCGTTAGCAACTATAGAAAGACTCGAATAATCGTATCCCCTCTTCTCAAATTGCGCACTTATGTGCACAATTTAAGCGTTAATTAGAGAGAATTTATTGCATTAGGTCAAGTCGCGAATAACTCCAGAATCTATTGTTCGTGTTTACTCACTACGAGTCGAATAAAGTAGAAAAAGGAAACAGAAAAATAAATGAATAAGAAAGAAGAATAAGATAAATGTCCGATAGAAAACCGGAAATTATTTGCGACTCGACCTAATTACCTACCTTTGTCGACGACGGCATCCGCTTCGAAGTCCACCTTGATGAACGTAGACATGGTCACTTCGAAGATCTTGTTCTTGTCGTTGCTCGATGCTTCTATGGCTCTTCTCTTGCGGCCGAAACCCACCTGGCCGTTGATGCACTCGATCTACGGTCGCCGGACTAGTTAAATAAGGCCCCGGCGATGTCGAGCCGCGGGTTCGACCGTCAACTTACCCCTTGGCACTTGTCCAAACAGACGTTCACGGTACCGCGGAACTGCACGTAAGTGCTTTCCGGGAACTTGAAGGCCCGGAATTTCGCTGTCAGGAAGTCACCGTCCACGGTGTTGAAGTTGTCGAAGAGGTACGAGTCCACGCAGCAGCTGGCGACAGAGGGATCTCGTGAAACGATCGTTCAGCTCGCGGATTTTGCGGCGAAAATATAGCGCCGTGCAGTCGTCGACGCGAACCGAGCTGTTGTACGATTTCAGCACGAACTACGCTGTCTAATTCGTCGTTCGAACTTCTAATTACTACGTATATTTTATCGCGAAATATGCGCAACATTTTCGCCTTTATATAGTATTCCGCGTATCAGCAAATTAAATCCGTCGCACAAACGTAAGAATTTTCTCGAATAAATCTGTACCCAAGCGGTCAAAGTAGACGCTTCCAGCTTTCGTTTAAGCCAAGTCGCATTCGAATTCGCGTAATTTATCCTTGTCTTTCTAGGTGTCGGAGGTCCGCGAACGGGTTACAGTAAATTCTCCCTAATCGACGCTCGGATCGTGCAGAAAAATAGACAATTCCGGAAGAGGAGGATACGATTATTCGAGCCTTGCGATATAAAAACGAACCGCGAGCTCGAACAATCGCATCTCCGCTTCCCAAATCGTCGATTCTTGCGCAGAATCCGAGCGTCGATTAGGGAGAATTTACTGTAATTACACAGTCCACTAGTTACCCGTTGGTGATGATCGTTTCCTCCTGCGACTTCGTGTCGGTCACCAGCATGTGGCTGACCAGGAGCCCGTAAACGGGCGCCGAGTGCTTGTCCAGGTAGATCTCCATCTGCAGAGGCGTGCCCGGGCTGACGTTGAGCTCGCCGGTGACCAGGGTGCCACCTTGCCGAACGCCCACCCCTAGAATCGGCATGGGAGCGGACTCCGAGATCTCGTCCCTGATCTCGACCATGCTGCGTACCAAGAAACAAACACGACCACAGATTCAATTTCCGCTGGCGAACGCGGCTTCCGCGGCCGCCCGGAATCTGCCCCGGCCGCAGATTCCTTCGGCAGCTGGCGGCGGCAAAAAGCAACGGCATCGCGAGACCATGATCTACATGTTTCCGTCGGAACAGTTAGGAGAAAATTAACCTATTTACCGGTCGCAAAAAACACCGGGAAACGAATCGCGGGGTCAGGGTTGTTTCCCAGAGTCATCGAGTCCTCGTCAACCTAAATCGCGTTTCTCTTTTTGCAGAATCATCCACCGTTTCGCCGGAGATCGAACGGCATCGGCTGCGAACTGGTGCCGCATTCGCGAGAAAAAATAGGAGAGAAAAAAAGGAAAGAAAGAAACGGAAGAACGAGAGCCGGTCGAACATCGACGTCGCGACGGATCGAGCGGGAAGAATTTTCCGGAGGATCTATCGCCCTGGCCGGTTGCGCGTCGATCCCTAATCACGGGGGACGAGCATGCGATTCCGCGGAGTTCGTGGAAGCAGAAACAGTTATCAAGATCGCGAGAGAATTTTCTTGCGGTGCGTGGCACGCGACCCCGGAGATCGGCCTTCGCCGGAGATACCGCGTGATAATTCAACAATAAAGATTTTACGGCTTCCTGGTGCGCCAGGAGAGAGAGAGAGAGAGAGAGAGAGGCGACACCGACGCTCCGGCGGAATCCACGTGGAACAGCGATCGCCGAGCTACGATCGATTAGTGCCAATAAATTAGCTTAACCGCGGAACAGGAACGCCGGAAAAATTCTCTCTCTCTCTCTCTTTCTTCCCTTTCAGTATTTCTCTCGCTCCGACTCTCGGATTCGCGAGCCACGCGGAGCGTGTCCTCGTGCAGGAAGAATGTCGCCAGGACGAGGCTGACTTTGGCCGACGGGAAGCAGGAAGAGAGATCCCGCGGCTGACAGCCGTCCACTCGTTCTGCCGAGTTAAAATTACATTACGGGTTTCCCGGCAGCTGTCCGTGGCCGGCCGGTATGCAAATACCCGTCCACTGTCGTTCGTAAATCACAATTTGGCAGCGTTCTCACCCTCGCGCCGAAGAGTTCAAGGGTTTCCCGCCGGATCGCCGTGTCATTGGATCCGATTTTTCCCGATTGGCGGGTACAGCTAGGATTATGATCGCGCGTGGGACGCGCGTGTCCGCCGTGCGCCATCGATCAGCCGGCAACGGAAGATCGAGAAGCGCCACCGTATTCGCTGGGACACGCGCGTGCCATCTGCTCGACGTCCACCGAATATTAGTCTGAATTACGATTCGTCGAGGACGGACGAGCAAGAATAGACGTCACCCGCGGCTTTGTCCGAAGGACCTCCTGGATGACTCGGGCTTTGGATCGAACGGCCGAGAGAGAAAAGGCCGGCGGAGGTACACTCGGTAACGCGACGCGATCCGGGCTAAAATTACATTTCAGGTTTTCCAGCACCTGCTCGAGCGCCGTATAGCGCTCGACAAATAAATGGATCGCCGCATCATGAATCAAGGTGATCGCCGCGCCGGCCGATCACCGGAGCAAAAAAGCCGCGCCATGAAACTATTTCGCGGACCGAGCCGGAGAGCTGCACCGCCTAGCGCAGCCATGGGCGACGAGCGCCTGCAACGCACCTGCGTTGCTCTCGATTTCAAGGCTGCGCCCCACGGGATCGAGTCTACGCCTGGTCTAGCTGAAAGCCTAGAACTTTTCATCCGTTTCGCGAGGCGGCCGTTGAACAATAATCTGCGTCCACGTCGGCTTTCAAGCAACGGATTTTAGTTTCGAACGGCGGTCGCGATTTTGCTGCGATATTTGCATCGAGTTTGTTTAAGCAGCGATTACTACCCGAGATCGTCTAAGATCGTTAAATCAATGTCCGTCAGGAATGGCTACTAGCAGTGGAAGCGACGACGTCGAGTGATCTAAATACAGTAATGTCTCTCTAATTGACGCGCAGATTGTCCACAGAAAAGGACAATTTGGGAACAGGAGATGCGATTATTTGAGCCTTGCGCCTCGTTTTTATAATTGTTCGCAATCGGCGACTATATGAATGTGCCTCGAGACTCGAAAAATCGTGTCTCCTCTCTCTAAATTGTCCATTTTTGTGGACAAACCGAGCGTCGATTGGAGAGACATTACTGTAGATTGATCTAATCGAGCCGATGCTCGCAGTAACAGCGAATCGGACACTGTTCCGCCCGTATTCCCTATTTTTGTCATAATTGTTCAACAGAGGCACCGTCTGTCCTACGTTTGCATAACATTTTTGTCTTAGGATGTAACGACAAAGTTCGAGGATTGAAACGTGCCATCTGGAAATACCGGCTCGCTGAAAACGCGGTCTTGTTTCCGGCGAGCCGACCCAGAAAATTCAAGGCATTTCGCTCGTTCCCGAGTTACACTTGGCTGAAAGGAATCCTCGAGCTTACACGGGAGAAGATCTTAACTGTTCACGCTCGCACCAGCCGCTTCTTGTCTACCCGAATCTATTAAACGAGCTCGTCCTTGACGCGAAAACGAACGCAACTCGCGTGCAATCGCCGCGCGCCGCGCCGGTCCGCGGTGCAACAGGTGTTTCGCTGCTGGTCGCCTCGCCGCGGCGCATCGCATCGCATCGCGTCGCGTCGCGCCGCATCGCATCGCGACGCGACGCGCACGCTCGCTCGGTTTGCTCGCGTGCCGATCTCCCGCGAGTCCGGGCACGCTGTTACCAAGCCGACCGAGCGCAGCGGCGCAACTCTGCTCGCTCTTACTCTACGCGAAACTTACTCGGGTTCCTGAAAGCCGGCGGGGAAGACGCTGCGCCGCACCGTCGTGTGATTCGACGCGATCGAGATCCCAGGCTTGACGAGGACCTCGGTGATGACACACTTCACGGTGAACGTGTGCTTGCTGGTGTCCGCCGGTTCCTCCACTATTATCCGATGAAAGTACACCTTCTGACCCTGTGTATCATTACCGGCCGTTAAATTAAGCACGCGGGATCGCGCCGAGCGGAGCCTCGCAGCGATCGATCGATCGTCGGGCCCACGCCGGACGACGCCGGCCCCTCGCCGTCGGGATCGGGTCCTACTACGTTTAGCCGGACCTAGGCCGGGCTCTCCTCCCCCGATGCTAATTGATTTCTTTGGCTCGNGCCGCATCATGAATCAAGGTGATCGCCGCGCCGGCCGATCACCGGAGCAAAAAAGCCGCGCCATGAAACTATTTCGCGGACCGAGCCGGAGAGCTGCACCGCCTAGCGCAGCCATGGGCGACGAGCGCCTGCAACGCACCTGCGTTGCTCTCGATTTCAAGGCTGCGCCCCACGGGATCGAGTCTACGCCTGGTCTAGCTGAAAGCCTAGAACTTTTCATCCGTTTCGCGAGGCGGCCGTTGAACAATAATCTGCGTCCACGTCGGCTTTCAAGCAACGGATTTTAGTTTCGAACGGCGGTCGCGATTTTGCTGCGATATTTGCATCGAGTTTGTTTAAGCAGCGATTACTACCCGAGATCGTCTAAGATCGTTAAATCAATGTCCGTCAGGAATGGCTACTAGCAGTGGAAGCGACGACGTCGAGTGATCTAAATACAGTAATGTCTCTCTAATTGACGCGCAGATTGTCCACAGAAAAGGACAATTTGGGAACAGGAGATGCGATTATTTGAGCCTTGCGCCTCGTTTTTATAATTGTTCGCAATCGGCGACTATATGAATGTGCCTCGAGACTCGAAAAATCGTGTCTCCTCTCTCTAAATTGTCCATTTTTGTGGACAAACCGAGCGTCGATTGGAGAGACATTACTGTAGATTGATCTAATCGAGCCGATGCTCGCAGTAACAGCGAATCGGACACTGTTCCGCCCGTATTCCCTATTTTTGTCATAATTGTTCAACAGAGGCACCGTCTGTCCTACGTTTGCATAACATTTTTGTCTTAGGATGTAACGACAAAGTTCGAGGATTGAAACGTGCCATCTGGAAATACCGGCTCGCTGAAAACGCGGTCTTGTTTCCGGCGAGCCGACCCAGAAAATTCAAGGCATTTCGCTCGTTCCCGAGTTACACTTGGCTGAAAGGAATCCTCGAGCTTACACGGGAGAAGATCTTAACTGTTCACGCTCGCACCAGCCGCTTCTTGTCTACCCGAATCTATTAAACGAGCTCGTCCTTGACGCGAAAACGAACGCAACTCGCGTGCAATCGCCGCGCGCCGCGCCGGTCCGCGGTGCAACAGGTGTTTCGCTGCTGGTCGCCTCGCCGCGGCGCATCGCATCGCATCGCGTCGCGTCGCGCCGCATCGCATCGCGACGCGACGCGCACGCTCGCTCGGTTTGCTCGCGTGCCGATCTCCCGCGAGTCCGGGCACGCTGTTACCAAGCCGACCGAGCGCAGCGGCGCAACTCTGCTCGCTCTTACTCTACGCGAAACTTACTCGGGTTCCTGAAAGCCGGCGGGGAAGACGCTGCGCCGCACCGTCGTGTGATTCGACGCGATCGAGATCCCAGGCTTGACGAGGACCTCGGTGATGACACACTTCACGGTGAACGTGTGCTTGCTGGTGTCCGCCGGTTCCTCCACTATTATCCGATGAAAGTACACCTTCTGACCCTGTGTATCATTACCGGCCGTTAAATTAAGCACGCGGGATCGCGCCGAGCGGAGCCTCGCAGCGATCGATCGATCGTCGGGCCCACGCCGGACGACGCCGGCCCCTCGCCGTCGGGATCGGGTCCTACTACGTTTAGCCGGACCTAGGCCGGGCTCTCCTCCCCCGATGCTAATTGATTTCTTTGGCTCGCGAACAGGATCGATACGAGAGCAATTTATGGGACAAGAATCGATCCGACGACAGCGGTACAACCGTGGATAAATCGCGGGGCTCGCCGGCGTGGGCTGGATCGCTCGATCGTTTTAATTATTCGAGGATGTTGATCGCGCCCCACCGTGACTTTGTTAACGACTTTCGTGATGCCGCAGCGTTGTATGTCCTCCTCGCTCAGCGACAACCGGAAGGTGGCGACGCCGTTGCTCAGCCGGGGCTTGCAGGCCTCGTCTGGAAAATAGGATAGGTAGATCTCGGCTCTCGTGTAAACCGCTCCGGCGAACCGCTTCCCGTTTATATTTCAAACGGGCCGTGGCCGCGGCCGGGCCCTGGATATACACCCGGACAGGAACACGGATCGATCTTTACCTGGAAAGTCCTTCAGCTGCTGCAGATATATGCTCGCCCTGGGACTGCTCCTCACGATGTCGACCTCCATCCACTGCTCGGAGCATCTCACTTTGCTCTGGACTGGAACGAGACAAAAACCGTGCGCCGGTCGCTTGAAAAATTCGTCGTTTTGGTCGTTGTCGTTCTGCTCGCGGAGCAGCCGATAACTTTTCCCGAACACGCGGCCGACAAGCTCCCCCTCGACACCAGGAAATTGTAATTCCAGTAGCGAAACAGATCGTCCGAACCAGTTTGCTTGATAAATCGCGCGATACCCCCGCGGATTAGACGGACCGGGGGGGGAGGGGGGAAAAAAGCACGCGGAAGAAGAGGAACGAAGCGGTTTCGAGAGGTCAGCGCAGGCCGATGCCGCGGTTTCCGGTGTTTCGCGCCCTAACGGTAGCCTTCAAGGATGCTGGCTCCCTTCAAGGACACTAGCGGCCGGCAGAAATAGAGAGAAAGTTGCTGGGACCGCGGCCTTTTTTCCCCAGAACACGCGAACCGTTCTCGTTTCGCTGCCCCGAGAGAAGCGATAAGCCGGAGAATCCGTACCAGTGCTATGTTAATCGACGCGAATTCGATCGTTCAACTATACCCCGGCGAGATACTTAGTGCCGGGCTGCATCCTGTTTCTGCGCCGCGCTAATTGCTCTCATTTTCCTTTCGCGAGGCGCAGCGAACCTCCATTAGAGGATTCGTCCTTGATATAGCCGGTAATCCGCGAGAATTTGATCGCGTCCAGGCGATCGAGATTGATATCGCTGAAGAATGGAGAACGTACCATGGTGGAAGTCGAAGAGCACAGGTGCGTTGTCGCTCCCCTAGAAACTCCGAAGTACGAAATTGTTGTACCGTTTCGCGAAACGAAGTCGATTTCCGTGCAAGCGTAAAGTTCGTTTAACGCTGAATCCGCGGAATCCGACAACGAAGTTGCTCACCGACGGGAAAAAGAAGCCGAGGAGGAGAGGAAACCCGGCGGCCAGTCCGCGAACTAACTCGCAGTATACCACGGTAATTGCCCCATAAAGTCGTAAACGTCTTGACCTTGAAAAGCCAGCAGCTCGACGTCGCGAGAGAGCCAACGTACATCCCAGTGGGTTGGTCCCCTGTTTATTCGCGGCGCTCGATGATAGATACTTTCACCGTTCGCCGAGTAATGTCCGGCCTGCGCGGTGCGCACCGAAACCACCGGTTCGAATTATCGCGATCCCGCGGCGAGAGATTCCAGCCATCTATCCCCGTATCCTCCGGAGAATTGAATTCCGAGGGATTGGACGCGCCGCGAGATCCGCCGCCGGCTAATTCGATCGACTGCGCGGAGACTGTGCCCGCGATCGGTGGATCGCGTGATCCTCTGTGCGGCGCGTTCGATTTTGGCGAACCGTTTGGATTCTCGAGATTCTCGAGTACAGTGATTTCTCCCGGAAATGACGAATTTCGGGGAGAATTTATCGCCGATGTTAAGGATCGACGGAGTCGGTCGATGCGGCACGCGACGCGAATTCTCAGAAGACAACGTTAAATGGTCTCCACGACCGTCGAATCGTTGCGTGTAGCCTCAGAATTGCCTTCGCATCGCGGCGAGGCTTCGTACATGACGAATGAGAGTAAACGTCGCGGACGATTCGATCGAGAGGATCGTCCTGGAAGGATCGTCGCCGGCAGGATTCCACGGCGATCGCAGAAGCAGCCGAGAGTTCCTGGGTCGATCAACGACACGACCACGCGACGTCGAGCAGCCCGGAGATCTGGGATAGGATTTCAGGTGCCGCGCGGAGCGGAAGGTATTTAATACGATTTTCTCGAGGTGAGAGAGAGAGAGAGAAAGAGAGCCGGTAGCGCGAGGCGATCGCGTCTCCGAAGATCGAGTCCGTTTCGTTGCCCGGCGTCCATCAGCTCGGGCAACGCGTAAATTACGCGAACGTGCTGCGTGTCGCTTTCAAATAGCCCCGGGGGTCCGACGCGGTCTTTTCCATTAGCGAGTTTAAACGCTTTCCGAGGTAGCACCACCACCTGTGCGGCTCTCCGATCTCTCCGCGTAAGGTCCGTGACCTCAAACCTCTCCCCGCCCTCCTCCTCCGGCCAGCCGTTCCTTTCTTTCGCTCCTTTTTTCATTTTCGACATCCGCTACGTTTTTACCTCGAAGTCCCTTCTGCTTCGGCCTCCAGCTATAGATACAGAGATCCCATCCCGGCCGTGATCGTCGACGAGATCCTCTCCTCTCCTCTCTCTCTCTTTTTCTCGCTCCCTCTCGCCTTATCTCTCTTCATCTCTCCGCTCCTCCCATCCCGTTACCGCTCTTTGTGTTTTGATCAGCGGCGTCGTACGAAGTCGCCGCGAGAGATCCCGCACCTCCTCGCGTCGTTCTCCCTTGTGTCCCTTCTGTCTCTTCTGGCTCTTCTTCTGCTCCTTTTTCTCGCTTTCTTTCGCCGTAGCCGACGCGACGAGACGCGACGCGACGGTGTCCCCTTCTTGCGCGCACCGTCATTTATTTACCCCGCTGTCAGACCAGCGGACGACTTCCTGTTTCGGTTTTTCATGCCCGTACACGGGGGACCCGGGCCCTCACCAATCGCTGACAACCCTTTTTACTCCTTTTTTCCCGCCGGACCCATTGTCTTTGCAATTTATGCCCGCGATAGCCATCCCGACTCTCTTTGCCGGAGCCACGGGCCACGCGTTTCGACTGCGGGCCCCGCGAAACTTCCTCCTCCACGTTTCTTCCGCGCACTCCCCCGCGAGCTCTCTTTTAATTATTCCGTTGTTAGGGCCTCTGTCCCGTCTTCCGTCGAGTCGCCAGAGCGACTTCCCCTTAGTTTCCCTGATTTCAGGGAACTCCTCTTCCTTCGAGTTTTATACTTTCTCTCGAAAGGATTCCGCGTTTCTTAATCAGTTAACTGGGTTTTACGAGTATACTCGACATGGAGAAGTGGTACTATCTCGTGTCACGACGAGTATACTCGTCTTTAACGAAGACGGAAACATATTCTCAAGTTTCAAGATGTTTAGAATATTTTGAGGCCAGGCCAGAATAAAAGAAATACGAATACTTGAATACTTAACGAAGTATAAGTATCTCCTGCGTTTTTCGTTTATAATGTACGCAGTATATGTTAACGTTGAGCGAATAAGTAACTATCAGTAATAAAATTGCTAATTTTATAAAAAAAAACGAGTATACTCGTCATCCTCCTCTGAAAAGGAAGCGCGCCCCAGTTAACTGATTAATATCCATATATTTTCATTAAATCGCTCATGGAGAAATAACTCCGAAAATCTAAATCTGCTCCGACCACCTGGTACTCAGGTGGAATCTCATCAGAGAGAAATTCGCGAAGGATGAAGATGTGTGTTTGGACCAGCGGGGAACTGCCCCGTGGCGACCTTCTTCTCGCACCTCGTCCCCAGCCGGCAATTACCCGGCGCTTTCCGTTTCGATCGAGCCAACTTTCCTCGCGGTTTGCGGCATCCATTCTATCCGGAGTAATTAAAGGTTGGCAATCGAGACGGTTCGACGTCCGCCGGCTACCGGCGCGATCCGCCCGGTCACTACGAGCTGCTCGTCGATCCCTCGGTTTCCGGCGGCCGATCCGCCGCGGATAACAACGCTCGCGCCGCGTACGCGCATCTTCGAACTCTCCACGAACCTGACCCTGAACCCCCGGACTCGGCTTTCGTCGTGGTTTTTCATTTTCTCGCCGCACGCGACCGCGCGGAATGAGAGAACGGATCGGTTTCACTGTCGATCCACGGCACCGGCTTCCGGCTGCCGTCTCTCTCTCCCTCTCTCCCTCTTTCTCTCTTCCGCGGGGAGCGCAGGTCTTTTCGTCGACTGTCTCGTAAAGTTGCAGGGAACGAGGAAGAATAGATGGAAATTGCGGGAACATAAGATCGCCGGGATTACAATAATTTGAGGCCATTACCGGCCGGGTGTTAAGAACGTAGAGAGGCCGCGTAATTATGCGATCGCGCGCCTCGCGGTTCGAGGAAGCTGCCTCTGTTCGGGATCGGGGGATGCCTGAGCCGATCGTCGCCGGAACGTGACTACATGGGAAACAAATTCGAGGAGACGGACGTAAAAGACGAAATGTTTGTTCGATCGAACGGGTCTTCGATCGCGGCTTCGATCGACGACGATGTTCTTACGACGCGGCACGGTGTTCTTCCCTCGCGGAGAAACAGCGCCGTTGCAAGAAACTTTTACAGCATAGTTACAATACGCTACGGACGGACGCGACGGGGCTGTTGCGAGGTACAAGCGCCGGGAGGCGTTTCTTTCGGCGGAGGCATGTAAAAGGTGATCGACCGCGAGAAGAAGCGAGGAGGATAGGCGTGGATAATGAAACGGAGACGGTGGAATAGGTTAAACCGGCTGGGACAATGTAACGTGCGAAAAGAACTATGAAAATAGGAAGGGAAACATGTGAACAGTTACGGCGCGAAACGGCGAGAGCCGGAGCTTGACGAACGGCGACGATTAGCGAGAAAGGAATGCGTAAACAAGGGAGTGGCGATTTTTATCGGGCCGCGCGGATCGACCGCATCGATTGCTTGCTTACAATTGGTTCTGGCACTTCGTAACTTCGTTTAAATAATTAAATCGAGCCGAGAGAGGACGACCGGCGTCGATTCCGTTCTGTACCCTGCATTCGATCGTTCCGGAACGTTGATCGTCCAATTACATGGCTTAATTGATCAGCTGATCGATCGAATGCAAGCCGCCGAAGAGGAGCAATTTCCTGGCGCGCGTCGGTATCGGTGGATCCACGGATTCCCGATGAAGCTGTTCGGTCTCTCAACGTTCGTCCGGATCGTTGGCAAATTTCGACAAATGCTCGCCTACTTCGAATAACCCTTTTTACAGGACACTTCGAATTGTCAACGACACGGCAAGAAATCGGTCACATTTGCAGCCAATATCGCAAAATTCGAAACGAGTTTACAGAAACTGTTCACCTAAATCACGCTGATTCGCAGATTCCGTATTTAATCGATATTAGCTTTTAGTTCTGTATTGTAAAAAACGGGGTTTCACCCGTAGATCAGGAATGAATGAAATCGAATGAAATTAAATCGGGAGA